GGGGGAGGGGGGTAACAGCTGCCGACAACTGCCCAGCCCAACTCTGCCAGGCCTGGTGGCCCGCCGAGCTTTTCTCTGCTGCATCTTCCCCGGAGGGAGCGACCCATTCTGCAGATGGGGAAGCTGAGACCCACCCAAGTAGGAAGAAGCAGAGCTAGAGGCAAGCGGGGTCATTCTGACTCCAGAGCCCACCATTCTGGAGTGGAGGACCCGGCTGGCATTGTCCTCCAGCCCAGCTCATCATCTGAGCCGGGCGCTCAGAGGAGATCTGGCAGGTTCCTGGAGGAGCAGGCCTTAGCCTCCAGCCTCCCAAGGGACCAGGAAGAGAGGAGGGGCACAGAGTGAGGGGTGGGCTGGGCCCTGCAGGCCACAGAGGCACCTTCATTTACTCCTTAAACAGGACTGGGGTGGCCCCTGGCTCCCGCAGGGGCCCAGGAGAATGAGTGGTAGGTTGTGGGCTAGGGAAGGGGGCCTAGCTGGGTTTCCACGTATCCATGCCCACCACAGTTTGTCCCAACCAGGGAAGTACCCAGTCTTGAGGACCCTGAGTCAGGGCCAACAGGCTGTATTTGTCACAACTGCTGCTCAGAGCCATTGCACCCCATGGATCCCCAGACCTGGCTTCCTGCAGCCCTGCATTTGGCCAGCCCAACGTTTAGAGATGCCCAGGGCAGAGAACAGCCCTGGGCATGTTTGTCTCTGGGACTTCCAAATCTTCAGCCCCAGGCCTGGCTCCTGCCTGACTTGGCCACCTGCTGACTATCTGATCTTGGACCTCACCTCTCATGTGACCTGTCCATAAAACAGGCTACAGCACCCTCTCCCTTCAAGATTGCTGTTAAGTTTAAATGAGATAGTATGGGTAAAGCGATTACATCGGGACTCTGGTTATTTATATCATTTCCCCATCCAGGTCCTGTCTGCTGGGAGTGGCCAAGTCCCATTTACCCAAAGAGGAAGTGGAGACTCAGAGAGGTTGAGAGACTCCCCCAAGGTCACACAGCCAATCACAGCTTGGGCAGGGCTCCTACATTATGGTCCCTGACCCCTCTGGGAATGGAATCCAGCACCTTCCACACCCATCCTTGTCCTGGGCCCAGAGCTTCTACAGCCTTGGGCCGCCTCCAGGGCATTGTCTTCTCTCCCTGGCTGGACAGAGCTGCATTCCCTATTTAGACTTAAGTAAACCAGGCCCCAGGGGAGGAAGTGACCAGCTGCACTGGCCCCAGACGGCAGGCCTGGCACTCTAGCGCCTAACTTTCATCCTCGGTGGGGCCCTAACCCATGCCTTTCCCCTTCTCCCCCTAGTTTGAGAGCTAAAGAAACTGAGTCTCACAGAGGGGAAGTGGCTGGCCCTGGGTGCCAAGAACAGTGGCCATGGAGCCCTGGCCTGTGGGCAGAGCCATCTGCAGGGCCCATTGGAGGCCACCATGGCCCTCCCCCTGCGGGCAATTGAGCAAGGCCCTGCCAGACCCTTCCGGCTGCTTTTGAAGTTAGCACAGTTTCACTTTCAGTAGTTTCGACATCTGGAAGGCTGCTCCCGCCTGTACCCACAATGGCTGCTGCCAGGCAGCCCGGGCCTCAGGGAACGTCCCCCTTTCATCGTTCATCAGTGTCCCCCTCTTCTCTCTGCCCTGGGAACCCAGTGAACAGGCCCATCCCCTTAGGATACACAGACATCGCAGGGAAGGGGGAGGGCTCCAGCTGCCTGTGGGGACAGGCTTCCAACCTCAGCCATGTCGGTTGTCACAGACTCTCCCTGGGGTAGGAAGACAAGGGCTAGTGACCAGTGGCAGCCAGGAAGCTGTTGCTGGAGGCAACCCTTGGCCTGGGGCCCCAAGGATGTGTAGGATCCAGGGTTAGGGCAGGTCACACAGGAGGGACAATGGGAGCAGGGGCCAGGTGTAAGAAAAGCCAGTGTCACCAGGATCCACCAGGAGTGGAGGGCAGGGGTCTCAGAGAGGCCAGAGACAGCTAGGAAAGAGCTTGAAGCTGGGCTGTGGGCCAGGCTGCTTCCTATGTGACCTCAGCACCCCATCGAGCCTTCCTGGGCCTCAGTTTCCCCATCTGTCGGAGAGGGGTGGTAGCAGGATCTCTAGGATTATGTGAGCCGAGATGTACAGAATTCCTACCTGTGGCCTGCCCCGCAGGACCATGGGCTCCATGTTCCGGAGTGAGGAGGTGTCGCTGGTCCAGCTCTTCCTGCCCACGGCTGCTGCCTACACCTGCGTGAGCCAGCTGGGCGAGCTGGGCCTCGTGGAGTTCCGAGACGTGAGTGGGCTGTATAGGCCGTGGGAGGGGACCGCGTCTTTAGGCATCCCGGCTGCTGGACCTTCTCCCCTCACAATGGCGCCCGCCCTGCTGGGGTCCCGCAGCCTCTGCCGTAGATGCTGCGCTCTTAGGAGGCTGGGTTTCTCACGGGTCACGTCCCCCTGACATGGTCTGAGTGAGCCAGACCTCGGCCCTACCATGCCCTCCTTGCCATATGGGGTCTGGTCTGTCTCCAGCTGGGCACCTGGAGGTCCATGGTGTTCACAGCACCTTTTGGGGGGAGTCAGCTACAGTCTGCGGCCCCCACCCCAGAAAACTGACCCTTCCACACAACAACTACAGCTCAACGCCTCGGTGAGTGCCTTCCAGAGACGCTTTGTGGTGGATGTTCGCCGCTGTGAGGAGCTGGAGAAGACCTTCAGTGAGTTGGCCGCAGGCCCACATCCCAGGCAGCCTTCCTGGAGGAGGAGCTTGATCTGAAAGGGAGAGTCTGTTACCCAGATGGAAGACAGAGAAGGGAGGTCCAGGCTGGGCCCTGGAGAGCTAAGAGAGGGCAGCTGGGATCTGTGGAAATGGATCCCACTGATCTTGGGAACGGATTCCTCCATTGTTGGGAACAGAGCAGCCTTGGGTGAGCTGAGCAGAGGCCCTGGGCCAGAGCTGGCTTGGAAGCGGCCTTGAATACTGTGTGGAGGGTCCTATGGAGCTGCAGTGGTTTCTAAGTATGAACAGTTTTCTCTGCTGCAGATGGACTGGGGTGGGCAGAGGCCAGGATCTAGGGTCAGGTGTCCCCAGGGAGCAGCTCCTTCTTAGACCTAGGCAAGCAGGACCTCAGCTCTGGTGCCACTCTGGAGAAACCTTCAGGGTGGGATCGAGCACACTGTAATGGTTTGAGAGTTTGACCGATAGCTTATAAGTAATCAGGCGGATGCTGTGTGGGCCTCCCTGCAAGCTCACGCCCCAGGCCCTGCAATGCTAGGGTCCACCTGCCTAGAAGACCACTGTGGGACCCAGGCTCTGGGCTGGGCAGGGGCCAAGGGAATGGAGAGGGAGAGCAATCTGATGAGCTCAGAGGGAGGGGAGCAGACCTGTGGGGATAGAAGTGTGGCCTGGGTTTTTTCTGGGGGTCTTGGACTCCGTGAATCAGCTAGCTGATGGCCAGTGGAGTTTGGGGTGGCACTTGGGATCCCCTAGACATTAGTCGGCCCTTAGCTAACAGTGGCCATTAGCTGGTGGGGCCTCCTGTGTGGTCTCTCCTGACGCCTGTCCCTCTGCACCAGGTTTCCTGCAGGAGGAGGTTCGGCGGGCTGGGCTGGCACTGCCCCCACCTGAGGGTGGGCTACCGGCACCCCCGCCCCGCGACCTGCTGCGCATTCAGGAGGAGACTGATCGCCTGGCACAGGAGCTCCGGGATGTGCGGGGCAACCAACAGGCCCTGCGGGCCCAGCTGCACAAGCTGCAGCTGCATGTGGCCGTGCTGGGCCAGGGCCAGGCCCCCCTGGTCAGCTCCAACCCAGGCGGGCACGGGAAGGGGAGGGGTGCCAGGCCTCATTTGAGCCCAAGCTCACAGTGCCTTTCTACACCTAGTTGGCAGCCACCCACACAGATGATCCCTCGGAAAGGACCCCCCTGCTCCTGTCCCCTGCGGGGCCACACCAGGACCTGAGGGTCAAGTAAGTGAGGGGCAGCTTCACGCTCTTTTCTGTCAGCCACAGAGGCCCTGAGTAATGGGGCCAGGCCAGGCCCAACTTGGACTCCTTGTCCAGTGCTCTCCCTCATCCTGCCTCCTCCCTTAGGCCTAGAATTTTCCTTACTCATGGGGGTTTCTCCAGCTCTGGCCCTGCCTGGTGGGCTCTTGCCTTCTCCCTGGAGGCAGGGCCAGGGTGCCTGGTTGGCCACCCTGGGCAGGGCCTGGCCTCGGGGCGGCCAGGCTGGGGCTGTGCGGGGGGAGGTAGGAGCGGCTCCCCCCAGCCCCGCTGGCCCGCAGCTTCGTGGCAGGGGCCGTGGAACCGCACAAGGCCGCCGCCCTGGAGCGCCTGCTCTGGAGGGCCTGCCGTGGCTTCCTCATCGCCAGCTTCCGGGAGACAGAGCAGCAGCTGGAGGACCCAGTGACGGTGAGCGGACTGGGGGCCACCCCGGCTGGGTCGGGTGCTGGGCAGAGCAGGTACTTGAGGGTAACCTGGGCCCCGCTCTGGCAGGGCGAGCCTGCCACGTGGATGACCTTCCTCATCTCCTACTGGGGCGAACAGATTGGGCAGAAGATCCGCAAGATCACTGACTGGTGAGCCCCTGGGGGGCTGGCCCCCGCTGCCCTTGTGCCCAGGCCCCTGCTGTCTCCTCCAGGGAGCCCACCCTGTCCCTGCCCTGCCCTGTGAGCTCCCTCCAGACTCAGCCGCCAGCCTCTGCACAGCCGGGAATCCCCTGGGCCTCACCTCATGTCCCCGTCCTCCCTGCCAGCTTCCACTGCCACGTCTTCCCGTTCGAGGAGCAGGAGGAGGTCCGCCAAGGGGCCCTGCAGCAGCTGCAGCAGCAGAGCCAGGAGCTGCGGGAGGTGGGCGCCCGTGGCCCGGCTGACCTTGTGCC